CTCTTTTATACAGAACATACTGAGAAATAAATTGCTCTTGTAAAATAAGTTTTAACGTGGGTTTGGTCAGGTGAGACGATTGGGTTTGGAGCTTCAATTTCATGTTTTCTCTTTGCTTCTATCAAACACAAGTACCCACTATTTACAGTTTTGATTTTTCTCTTCAGCTCAATTTTTGGATAATTGACAAGGAGGAGCTCCAGTGGCGCAATCGGTTAGCACGCGGTACTTATAAGACAAGAAGAACATTGGCTTTTGTAGATGTGGTATGGCAAGGATGATATGAGGAAGTAGGAATTAAACAGTCCATATTTGAAGGTTTCACATTTCCTTTTGGTGCTGCTATTTCTAGTGCTACTTGTTATTCCATATTTGTCTCCTACAGAGCCTTACAATAATCTCTCTAAGGAAGATATCCAGGCCTAGAGAAGTCATGAGAGTTATTCAAACCTCAAAGTCTTATGCCGGATCTGGATCTAGTACCAGTTGATAATATGGATTTGACTTTCTTACTTATGGCCCCTGCAGCTAGGTTTGTGAGACTGTGGAAGTGGGAATGCCATCCTCTTCCAGCTAGATTAGTATATTTATTCAATTTCCATGGCTATTTTGAATGCAGGTACTGAGGATGTAAAGCACTCAGGGACACAAACCCTTGCTTATAACCTAATGCAGGACAAATGGACTAGACAGGGGTTTGCTACAATGAGATTAGTACTGTGACTGAGCAAGGCATGTGTTAATGAAACACCCAAGAGGGGCTTTGAAAGGCTTCTGTGTAGCTTCTGACACATAAATTGAGACCCAAGAGGAAAGGGAGTTCTAGGAGGAAAGAAAGGCATGAGGACCAAAGGAAGCAGAAATGTGCTTTAGCATAAGCAAAAGAGTTTACAGAGGAAAGAGATACTCGTTCACAGGCCACATTAAGGATTTCAGCGTTAGCTGCCATTAGCAATGGGAGCCTAAGAATGTCACCTTGTTGGATCAGAATTACAGAAAACCATTCAGTAGCATGTAGAGGATGAGTAGCACTGGATGCAAGAACTTGTAGCAGCTACTCCTTCTATGAACATGCTGGTCCCTGTGAGTCTGGGTATATTCACAGGTACCAGTATTTCTTTATGGCTACTGTTGAGAGGCTCTGCTGAGAATAACAGAAAAAAAATGAAATGTTTGCTCATTGTTTGGCCCTGAGTTTGCCCCATGCTGACTGCCAGCCATGCACTAGTAAGTCTTTTATGCTTAAGCAGAGAGTGAAAACCTACTGACAGAAGGATTTTGTTCCGCCATCTCAGTTTGGGGAATCAATGTGGAGAAGAGTACTAGAGGAGATGTCAACATTGTGGCTTATTCTAATAAAACTATTGACAAATGCTAGTCTCACTTGGTGGCAAACAACTCCTATGGCCTCATACTACTTATATGAAAGAAAGCACAGATAGAATCTGTGTCTACATCTTTGTGAGCATACCTGCAAAATCTCAAATACATAGGAGGTACTCAGTAAATATTGATTCCTTTTTCTTTTCTTTTCTTTTTTTTGCCAGTCCTAGGGCTTAAACTCAGAGCCTGGGCACTGTCCCTGAGCTTCTTTAACTCAAGGCTAGCACTCTATCTACCACTTGAGCCACAGTGCCACTTCCAGCTTTTTCTGCTTATATGGTACTGAGGAATTGAACCCAGGGCTTCATGCATGCTAGGCAAGCACTCAGCCACTAAGCCACATTCCTAGCCCTCCTTTTTCTTTTTCTTATTCTTCCTTAATGCTCCATCTCAGAGATGATATCTTATATTGCCTGACACTGTCTGACCCATTTCCTGTCTGCACTCCTCTTCCTGTTCTCCCGGCACACACTGTCCTACCAACACTGACCATCTGTGGTCATACTCCCACTTCAGAACCCTCTGATATCTGTGTGGTTTGTTCTCTCACCTTTCTCAAGGTTTTGTTCACCTGCCTCCTCAGTGAGGCCTACACTAACCACTCTTTTTTGTACCTGTATGCTGGTTCCTGGGTCTTGAAATCAAGGTCTGGGCACTGTCCCTGAGCTTTGTTGCTTAAGACTATAGCACTCTATCACTTGAGCCACAGCTCCACTTCTGGCTTTGGGGTGGTTAATTAGAGATAAGATTATCAGAGAGCTGGGCACCAGTGGCTCACACCTGTGATCCTAGCTACTTAGGAGGCTGAGATGTGAGGATCACAGTTAGAAGCCAGCCCAGGCAGGAAAGTCCATAAGACTCTTATCTGCCAGAAAACCAGAAGTGATGCTGTGGCTCAAAATGGTAGAATGTTAGCCTTGAGCAAAAATGCTCAAAAACAGTGCCCAGACCCTAAGTTCAAGCCCCATGGCTGAGAAAAAAAAAAGTCTCACAGACTTTCCTGCCCAGACTGGCTTTGATCTGTAATGCTCAGATCTCAGCCTCCTCAGTAGCTAAGATTGATTTTAGGTATGGCTATACTAACAACACTTTTTGTTTTCATTTTCATTTATTATTATTATAAAGGGGTTATAATTTCATAAGCCAGGTAATAAGAACATTTCTTTCTTTCTTTTTCTTTTTCTTTTTTTTTGTTGGTCATGGGGCTTAAATTATGAGCCTGGGCGCTGTCCCTCAGCTCTTCAGCTCAAGGCTAGTACTCTACCACTTGAGCCACAGTACCACTGCCGGTTTTCTGAGTGGTTAATTGGAGATAAGAGTCTCATGGCCTTTCCTGCCCAGGCTGGCTTTGAACCACAATCTTCAGATCTCAACCTTCTGAGTATCTAGGATTACAGGCATGAGCCACCAGCACCTGACTTATAAGTACATTTCTTTTTGGACAGTGTTACCCCTTCCTTCACTCTCTCCCAGTTTTTCTCTCCCATCCCTACCCACAGGTTGTATAGTTAATTTTCCATTAACCACCCTTTAAGGTTCAATTTGCCTCACTTCTCCATGCTTTCTCTTCCCAGCTGTTTTTCTCCTTAGCTCTTATCACCTTCCAATGTGTTACAGTTTGAATTACTTAGATTTTTTTAAAATAAAAATTAGTTTTTATTGAATTCAATCACATCTTACATCACATGTAAGTTCCACAAAGGCAGAAAGCTTTTTCTGTGATATTCATTGCAGCATCACCAGTGCTTGAATAGTGTCAGGTGATCGAATGAATGAATGAATGGATGAATGAATGAAATATTCCCTAGCAACCAGTTAGATGTCACCCAGAATAGTGGGAACTGTGTAAGCACAGGTACTAAAAGTTTCGATTTCCCTCTGAGTGCTTTCCTCAAATCTGCTTGGGTAGTGACTCCGAATTGAGTGGCTACCATTTGTTCAGAAAATAAGAATACTGTCCTTCCCTTAACAGCTAATCTAAGGGAAAAATTTTAACCCTTAAAAACTCATAAGCACAAGCACTAGTTAGTTCCTGTTCTACTTGAAGGTGTGGAAAACAACCAACATGTTTCCTTCAAAACCCTTCTAGTTACTACTTCTAGACCACTTAGGTTGTTTTTCTTCTTTGCTTTCTTCTGGTCCTCATGCCTTGAACTTTAAAACCATCACCTATGAAACCAGACAGTAGTAGAAGGCCTCAGTGGGGACAGATCCCAGAGTGTGGACAGTATCCATTTCCTTATCAGTCTTTTCTCACTGAGGAAGTTACCATACATGAAAGAAAGGAAAAATTGAGACTGTTGTCTCCTGGTAATGTTCAGTAGTTTTGCATAAGGTCCCTTCATTCATTTTCTCATTTATTCATAGTCAGAGATTCACAGGCTGAGAGCAGTCAATTACAGTGGTGAAGACATGTATGGAGAAGGCTTTTGTAGCAGGCAAGTTCCCACAAAACATATGTCACACAATGTTGGAACCTCAGTGGCTCCTATGTTTGCTCTTATGTCTGTAGGACAGCTACAGTAGCCCTGCTTCAGGTGGGCCAGAGGGATGGATGTGAAGAGTTAGAGACAATCATCTTTCACAGCCTTTAGCTCTGTCTATGGAAAGGAGAATGGGCTTCCTGGAGCAACCTTGGTCTGTCTTGGAGGATGAGTAGTTAGTTCCCAAGGCAAACAGGCAGGCAGTGATATATGCAAGAGATGGATTTTTTTCTTTTTTTTTTTTTTTTTTGTCGGTCATGGGGCTTGAACTCTGGGCCTGGGTGTTGTCCCTCAGTTCTTCAGCTCAAGGCTAGCACTCTACCACTTGAGCCACAGTGCTACTTCTGGTTTCTGATGGTTAATTGGAGGTAAGAGTCTCATGGTCTTTCCTGCCCAGGCTGGCTTTGAACTATAATGCTCAGATCTCAGACTCCTGAGTAGCTAGGTGTGACCCACTGGCACCTGGCAAGGGATGGAATTTTAAAAAAGAGATTGAACTATTATCTTAACATTTATTTAAGTAATAACTGTGAGCAGTATGCGAGAACTATGTCTTTCTTCCTTTCCCCCAGTTTTTATATACATACCAGGAAATGTTCAGAAATGAAGGGGGATAAGCTTGGTAGGTTCCTCTACACCTCCCAAAAGTTGGTCAACAAGGTAATGCTGACAATTGCCACTGCTCTCGAGTGCCTCTATCTAAAACTGGTTCTCTGCCCATGGCAGAGCACAACATACTCCAGTGAAGAGATGCACTTTGAATTTTCACTCCTGGTTCCTGACTTGACAACTGGAATCACATCTACCTGGTCTTACTGATCTTTAGAATTTTTTTTAAAGAGAGAACCATCCTTGACTCAGCTGGTTTATATCCTTGACTCAGGTAGATTATTAAACATTGATAGGCATTTTTATGAGTTCTTCATCTCAGCAGGCTGGAATTGGGTGGAAGCTTGTTCCCTGACCCATTTGCCATGTGCACAGGAAGCTGGCAGAACTGGTTCCTTCCAGCTCAAAGACCATCTCCTATCATTTGAAAATCTTGTAATATTGAGCAGTGCTGACAAGAACGGCCTCTCACTGTCTGCTGTTTGCTGTCTCATGACTCCCCAGGTCAGGGAGGCTCCAATGTTGCTGTCTCTCGTGGATCTGACGACGGGAGCCAAGAAAGGAGAGACTGTGTCTGAGACAGACTGGTCCAGAAAGAGAGCATACTAGGATGGGATGCTGCTGACCGCCCAAGCAAGAATTGCAATCTCCTCTTCCTAAGAGCCTCTACTCAAACCACTCCTAGACCACGACTACCTCATGGAAAGAGGATCTTTTTAGGATCTTGTTGTCAGCTGCCCAACACTTTTGCAAAGCCCAAACGAGACTTTTACCAACAATCTGAACAAGATAACATTTCACTTTTGCCTCCTTTTCATCTTCCTGGTTGTGCTCTTAGCTGTTTATCCCTGAGTATTGCAAGCCACATTTATTGCTATTATTTTTTGTGTACACTTTTCAAAATGATTGACTTAAGTTTCCTTACGGAGGAGGAACAAGAGGCCATTATGAAGGTTCTGCAGCGGGATGCTGCCCTGAAGAAGGCTGAAGAGGAGAGAGTCAGGTAAGAGGCGAAAAGAGTCTTCAGACTTCAGGGAAGGAAGAGGTGGACCATAGGAAAATAGAGTATATAAAAATTTCAACCATAAGTGGTAGTTTTGACTTGGAACCTAAACTTATGGGTTCCAATTTTAGGTTTGCTTCCTGCACAAACATTTTCCTCTGGTGTCTTTTAATTTACTCTTTTGGATGCCTGTCAGAAACAGATGTTGATTATAAACTTAGGCTGGGTGTGGTTTGTAGTCCCAGATACTCAGGAGGCTGAAATAGGATTGCCTGAGCCCTTGAATCTGTGATCAGCTGCAGCAACAGAGTGAGACCCCATGTCAAAGGCAAAACAAAACAAATGGAACCAAACAAACAAGTACTCTATACTCCTTCAACTTATTAAATTAAAAATGGAACATATACAAAAACATATTTCTTAGCTGGGTGCTGGTGACTCATGCCAATAATCCTAGCTGCTACTCAGGAGTCTGAGATCTGAGAATTGTGGTTCAAAGCCAGCCCAGGCAGGAAAGGCCATGAAGTGGAAATTAACCACTAGAAAACCAGAAGTGGTGCTATGGCTCAAGTGGTAGAGCCCAAGCCTTGAGCTGAAGAGCTGAGGGACAGCACTGAGGCCCAGAGTTCAGGTCCCATGACCACCACCACCACACACACACACACATACACACACACACACACACACACACACACACACACATATGTATGTATGTATGTATGTATATATATTTCTCACCCCCACACCCATATGTATGTGTTTGAGACAAGGCTTCACTGTGTCACCCAGGCTGGTCTTGAACTTGGGATCCTCTTGTCTCAGTCTCCTAGGATTCCAAGCATATGTCACACCTGGCTACAAGCATGTGTGCATATTTTTATATCCACTTCATAAAGTAGTTTTGAGGTACTAAATCATGTGCTATAATGTTCTTTGGTTTCTAAAATTTTAGAGAGAAAAAACTCATAGTTTTGCATATTTTTTAGAAATACTGGAATTGGTTTTAATAGCGAAATTAAAATACTCTGATCAAGTCAAATTTTCATTTGGTTCAAACCCAGGGAGAAGAATAGTAACTCTGACACACAAGCCTTGTTAGGAGGAACATGTCAATATTCCTATAGCTTTTGCTCACCTTTGCAGTAGAAAGAGCATAGACAAAGTCACTGACTAACTGGGCTTAGTCCATTTGCTGTCTTTGTAATCTTGTGCTATGGAGGCAGTGAAAGGTTTTCTACATGGGAATTATTAGTATTAACTTTGTGCTTCTCATCCCAGGAGTTACTCAAAAGGAGCGTAAATTGTATTCTTACATCCTAAAGCACAAGGACCATGAATAGTGGATTTATTTGCACCATTTCCTATAGCTTGGCCATATATATTGAACACGCTTTGTGAAAGAACACACTGAAAATAACTTTGAGTACTAAATAATGTCTGATTATTGCTACTGATAACTATGATGTTTAATAAGATATAAAGGCCTCAATGTTCTCATTCTTTTTTCTTCTTCCTTTTCTCTTCCTCCTCCTCCTTTTTCCTTCTCCTCCTCCTCTTCCTCCTCCTCTTCCTCCTCCTCTTCCTCTTAAAAGCAAATTTTAATCAGCTTCATAAAAATCATCCTTAAAATAAAAAGAAAAGAAAGAAAAAACAGCAAAAAAGAAAGAAAAGCCCCACGACTGACCGGGAAAAAAAAATGTCCTTGTAGCTGCCCCAGGATAGGCCCTCTTGCTCAGCAGGTTGCTGGTGACAGTTTCACCCACATTGGGGTGGTTCCTCTGCATGCCACCAACATCCGAGTGACAGTACATCTGCTCCCTTGGCAAGGATTGGGCCAGCTATTTAAGGGCTTCCAACTGGAAGTGTACCTTAGGCACTCTTAGGCCCATTATTTTTATGAGCTCACACACTGCTAGGTAGTAAGGTATAGTGGGATATAATTACCCCCTATTCAGCTTAATGTCTGAGGAAGTCAACTTTGAGACCCATCAGATGAATTGCTCAAGATCACAAAGCCAGTAGGTATCAGCATGAGGGTGAAATTGCGCTCTAATGGCTTCACATACTCATGGTATACTCTACTTCCTCTTCTGACATCTAACAATGGAGAAGGGAATCATGCTCATCTCTATGAGTCACTTGCGGCGCTCCCTGGACCTGCATGGAGCATTACACCCCACTCTCAGCAAGTACTCTACCTTTGAACAGTTTCCCCAGGAGCAGCAGAGAGCTGACATTAATCCAGCCATCAGAGCCTCTGGGTAGCCTTAATCTTCACACATTCACAGTTTATGGAGGTCTTTCATGAATGTTATCCTCTTATGTTTCTCATAGCAACCCCAAGGTTTGTCAAGGCCAGGATTGTTACACACATACACACAGCAAAATCCAAGAGTTCCTTGGCAGACTTGGTTTTGCACACTCTCCTTTCTTCTTTGTTTCTGAAGTGCCCTAGCAACTGCCAAAAATTTAGCCCCTGCTCCCTCCTTTCTCCTCCCTCCTCCCTCCTCCCTCCTCCCTCCTCCCTCCCCCTCCCCCTCCCCCTCCCCCTCCTCCTCCTCCTCCTTCTTCTTCTTGAAGAACCCTTGAGGTGGTGACAAATCTAGGGAGTTAAGCCTTGTCTACAACACTACTCCAAGGAGCTTTCAAATTGGCACCACACATCTCTTGTGGACTTGGCCATGATCCAGGAATTGGCCAGGACACTAAGACTATTAAGGAGTGCCAGTGTGGCAGGTGGGTATGAAACAATGGCTTGCAATACTGAGAGTCTAACCCATAATATGTTCACACAAGGAGAACCTTGCTGTGTCCCATTTTTCTCTGGAACTGAAGGGTCTCTGGGATCATATTCTTTTCCCACATCATTTTCCATGCTCCTATTCTGCTTCTGGACCAAAATTGGGTCTCTGAACTACTTGATGGGTTTTATCTTAGAAGCTCCTGTGCCATCCTTTGGCTATTTGTCTTTACCTCTTCTACAAGTTAAGCTTGACAGATCAGAAATTGAGACTTTGGATTCCTATCAGTCATTTTATAGGTTAAAGCCCAGAAAGGAGAAATGACTTGTCTAGGGTCAAAAGTTAGATGTGCCAAAGCCATACAAAGAAAAGCTCTTGGTTTAGTGCCTTTTCTTCTGCCCCAGGCAGCTTGTTGCAATTTTCCTTCCAGAACAGAACAGTAAGAGCTCACTCATGACACAGGGAAAGAACTCCCCTGTGTGGACATTAAAGTTAAATCCCAGCTCTACTTCCAATCATCTGTGGCTCACTGGACAATTTATTTAACCTCTCTGAGCCCCAACTCAGAGATTAGGTATGACTGTAATACCAAATTCAAAAGTTTGAAGTCAGTTTTAAGTATAATAATTTTTAATCTTCCTGACATGTTAGTTAGTGAGTACATTTTAATCCATTTATTCAACACGCAATCTGTGCTTTTATAGAACAGAAGACTGTAGTTAACAATCTGATTCTCTAGCAGGGAAATAATTCTAAAACTAATTACTTAATGTAGTGAAATTGAATAGAGCACCTTTTAAGTACAAGGAACTGCTTTGGGCAGTGATGTAAAGTGAGTTTCTAGGATAACTGAAAACATCTCATCCCTCAAAGAATTTACCACCATACGGCCTTCATTCAGTTAATAGATTGCCAATTGCAAATATGGAGCCTAAATTTTGCTTCCCTAATGTGGTTATACAAAGCCTCAGTTCTCTCTCTAGTTGGTTTGTAGCTTAGAAATACCAATTATACAACTATTCTATCACTCTAAAGAAAACATCATTAGAAAGGCAAACTTCTCATAATATTGGTACTGTTATTTCAAATGCTAACTCTCTATGCACTTGGGAGTAAAACCCTCCTGTAGCCATAAAGGTGTCACTAGTGGCCTATAGCATTCCTGCCTCCACATCCAGAATATCTGCTGCTTCAGAACCCATTATAGAAGCCCCGAAGGTGAGATTGAGCATTCACATTGAATTCTGTTCACCTGTCTGCATACATCCTGTGCTTTGATTACTCCTACTCAAGCCCACTTCAGACATTTTGGAGATGATTTAGTTTCATGTCACCTTCCATCCATAGCTATGTCAGTCATTTTAGAGATATGTTCAGTTCCTAAGTTGCTCAACCAGTCTAGTAGTAGCAGTAGACTATGTACTTAAGGGTTATCCTGTGTGGAGTCTCTGGGGTGCAGATGAGAAGACAGTAGCTCTGAATAACTCTTGTCACAATGGTCTTCCATGGTGCTTCTACCTGTAGCCACAAGTGCTGGGCTCAGGTTACTAACTTCCAAATAAAGACATTTTGCAGGTCAGCAGGGAAGCAGACATCCATATAGATGGATTATTTTCCTCTCTCTCTCTCTCTCTCTCTCTCTCTCTCTGTCTCTCTCACCCATGCACTCTGTCTCCCTGACTGCCTGTCTCTCCCATCCTGTCTCTTGACTTTTAAGGAAACACATCCATATAAACATGTATGTAATTTTAGTCTTTTATGGTTTGAAAATAACACACTGTGGAGGTGGTGTTTCCTGTGCTTTGCATCACACTGCCAGCCGGAAATCACTGCACATGTCTGTCTGTACGCCACACTAGCGCCACGTCCCCCACCCCCATACAGGCACAACCACATCTATGGCCATGATGTCTCTATAGCAGATACCGTCTCAACTGCCACCACATCTTATGATTCTCAGGATCTGGTTTCTTTTAAATGAAGGCAGTTGACATTGCAGATCTGACTGACAGGACCTCTGACAGTGTTTTCTATCGCAGGAAGCAAAAAGGAGCTAACATTTATCAAGGAGCTATACCACACATGGAGCTACACATACATTTCTTTAAAAATTTTATCTTCAGATCATTACGAATGAGGAAATAGGGTTAAACAGGGTAAATACCCTTTACATACCCTGTGCTGTCTTTCAACAGATTATGGGACTCTAGGATGTGTCTACAGTCTAAGAGATGCATTTCTTATCATTTTTACTGTAAGGACTATTGTAGTTGATTTTGTTTTCAGATGGGTTGGCTTCTAAATTCTCCATCAAAGGTTGCATTTTCTTGGTAGAGTGAGGTGTGGTAGTCATTTTAAAAACCAAACTTATATTTGGCCTTTTGAGACAGTAGAAGGTAGTGGAGAGAATATTAGTGTCGAGTTGGGCTGGTTTCTGGTCCTGACTGGGTGATTTTGAGCAAATCTCTTAACTTCTCTGAACCTCAGTCATCTCATTTAGAAAGGGAGGCCACTCATCACTATCTAAGATATCTTCTGTCACATTTTTCTTTTGTTGTCCTTGCTCTGGGGCACCTGGACACTGTAGCTTAGCTTTTTTGCTCAAGGCTGGTGCTCTACTACTTGAGCCACATCTCCACTTTCAGCTCTTTGGTGGTTTATTGGAAATGAGAGTCCCCCTCATAGACTTTTCTACCCAGCAGGCTTCAAACTGTGATGGTGAGATCTCAGCCCCCTAAGTAGCTAGGATTAGAGGTGTGAGCCACTGGCTCATGACCAATTGGTCACATTCTAAGCAAACATCTAAGAATACTTTATTATCATCATAATTGTTATAACTTGACAGTATTGGAGTTTGAACTCAGGATCTCATGCTTCCTAGTTAAGTCCTCTATCACTTGAGCCATATACAAAGCTAAGAATATTTTAAAATTACATAATCCAATCAACTACCTCGACCTGACTGTACTGGGGGATTAAGCAACAACAGCAAAAGACTAGAAAATGGATCAATCATCATCCTTACCATTCACAATTGGCTAGATAGTGTCATCCAGGTCCTGCCTATAATGTCAGGCCTTTGCGGATCATGTTGAGGAGCTGGAATGCATGTGTGTGAGCACTAGAAACAAAGGGGTGGTCTGGGAAGGAGTACTGAAGCCATGCTGGGGCACACTCTTTTCTTCTATATCTCCTCTGAATCCTCATACTCTCTGTGCACTTCAAAGAATTAATATTGGCGGTTAGAGCTATTTACTGAATTTTTACACACAATTTCAAATCTACCCCTGATAGGGAATGAATAAGTAAACAAATAAGCAGATAAGGCTTAGATGTGTAGTCTGTAGCATAGTGGGCAGGCAAAATGGCTACCTTCCGCTGATGACTAAGTTCTTTGTATCTTATGGTAACATTGTAAGGATTAAATGCTGTAATGCCTGTTAAATACCAAGCACAGTGCAGTATAAGCCAGATGCTAGGTAAGTGTTAACAGAAGAAACAGGAGACTGGATAGGAGAATGACTGGGTGCTTTGCTTTGGATCCTGGCAGGACACTGTCCTTTCTGGGCTTCTGTATCAACCCTGCCCACCAACCCAGTAGTATTTATTTATTTATTTTTGGCCAATCCTGGGGTTCAAACTCAAGGCCTGGGCACTGTCCCTGAGCTTCTTTTTTTTTTAATTTAATTTAATTTTTTTTGTATGAACATACTGTACAGAGGGGTTACAATTACATGGGCAAGATAATGCGTACATTTCTTATCAAGCATTGCAGCTTCCTCCTTTGTTTTGTCCCTGAGCTTCTTTTACTGAAGGCTAGCTCCCTACCACTTGAGCCACAGCACCACTTCTGGCTTTTTCTGATTATGTGGTGCTGAGGAAACGAACCCAGGGCTTCATGCATGCTAGGCAAGCACTCTACCACTAATCTATATTCTCAGTCGTCCAGTAGTATTTATTGAGTGTTTTCTTTATGCCCAGTTTTCTTCTAAATACAATGTGTATGTGTTGAGAGGATGGTAAAGGATAGTGTCAATCTGAAGGAATTTACCCTTTTCCTCCTTCAACTAGATAGTAAACGAATGAAGAAATCCTGTGCTATTATTTTTTTCTGCTTGTGGGGCTTAAACTCTGGGCATGGGCATTGTCCCTGAGCTCTTCAGCTCAAGATGAGTGCTCTATCACTTGAGCCACAGCCCCACTTCTGGTTTTCAGGTGGTTAATTGGAAATAAGAGTATCATGGACTCTCCTGCCCAGGCTGGCTTTGAACTGTGATCTCACATCTCAGCCTCCTGAGTAGCTAGGATTACAGGCACCAGCCACCAGTGCCCTGCTCTAGTGCTAATTTGATGGGTACAATTACAGTTCAGGAAAAAAAAAAATAGCTCAACATTGGTTAGCAGATAGATATGGTTTTAATAGCATCACAGTTGAATTTTTTTAAAATGATCTGTCTTTATAAAATCTAGACTTTGATGTCACACATAACGAGTCATCTACAAAATATTATGAGTGACTAAGAAAAGATCTAGAAGGTAGTTATTAAACTTAGTAGCAATAATCATGTTGGGAAATATGTAAGTGGGATTTATTACATTTGAAAGAATTGTCATTCTTTTGCCATTTCAAAACAAAAGGTCATAATCTTTTCCTTACTATAATGGCCATTACAGTATAGGGAAGGCATGTGTTTTCTTGTGTCTGCCTCACATAGACTGCTCACTGTGTGTGTGTGAGGAGAGTAGATGAAGGGTTGCAAAGGATCCCTACAAAGCAGAGTGCTTTTCAGTTGAACAAAATTGTCTCAGGAGAAGGAATTGAGAGTTGTTCTGCTGTGAGGGTTTGTGGTCTCCTTCAGCAATGGTGCTAATAGGTGTCATTTTTCATGATTTTTTTGACCTGTTCTGATGAGAGATTAGCATGTCATCAGTATGATGAGAAACCCCTGTCATTGTGATGCTTGATCTCCTGCCAATTTTTCATTATCTGTTGCCTGACTCACACTAGGGTGGCTGCTGAGCATTTATTTGTTCACTGATTTATTCACTCAACAAACACTCACTGGATATCAATATCAGCTCTGTACTAGGCTCTGTGCAATGTGCTAGGGTGACAAAGGTGATTAAGATGAGTTTGCAGAGTCTACAGATGACTGGGTGAAACAGATGTGCAAATAGATTGTTGGGGCATGGTGTGGTGGCTGCTACAGGAGAGGTGCCATGGGAACATAGGGTAGTATGCCCTTCTTGGGCTGGATCTGCAGAGCTGTAGGATGAGGAGCAAAGACAAGAATCAAGGGAAAGACATCCCAAGAAACTCCACCTTCATTGGCCTCTGTCCAAGGTCCTCAGGTACTTCTAGCCAAGCATGTTACAGGGTAGATTTTATTTTCCCCTAACTTTATTAGAAAGGAAAACAAAACTTAGCATGGTTTGGTCATCCATCCATGATCACATGTAGGAAGAACAAAACTGGAATTTAGACCTATTTGGGGAATAGTCTTCTGCTATACATTCCCCTTTCTACAGTCTATCAGTTGAGAAATGCAGTTTAGAGAACAGTCTAGGGTAATGGCAAGTGAGTATGAGAGTAAGTTGTGGGAAATGGATCTGAAAAGGTAACCTGAAGCCAAGTGGTCAGGTACCTCATAGCATATTCCTTCACTCTGCAGGGTGCTCAATAAATAGCCACTGTTTCCCACACATGCAGCAAAGATGCACTGAATGTAGGCCCTGACCTAGATTCAATCTTCCCAGAATGAGATGGAAAAGACTTCCATCTTCTGGAATTGGGCTCAGACTTAGCCTTGTCAGGAAAAGAAATCAGAAATCAAGAGTGGTACCAGCAGCACAAAGAGGAGTGTCTGCTCTTAAAAGCATTAGGCAATGAGAAATGATTACAAGTACTTAACAGAAATAATAATTTCTGTGATGACTCAGAACTATGAGATGCTGCTGCTGTCTTTTCAGGATTTAGAGATGGACTGTTGTGACAATGTGTGGGCAAGAACTGTGATTGAATATGTTTAGGGTATGCTCATTCCTTCTTAGCTAAATGGGAGCGGGCAGAAGGTAATTCTAGCAGTCTTTACTCTGGCTGTACTCTAGGCATGGTTGGAAACAAGGAGATATCCTTGCTAGACCTGAGTTTTTGCCTACCCCCACCTAACATGATCTAGGTGGGGGTGGATGGATGTCTAGGTATGGCACTCTCCAGCTCTACCATCTTGGCCAATTCATGTTCTCTGGCTGAAAGAGACATTCCACACGTGGCAATTCTAACTTCCAAAAAGTTGTTTCTATAAGGTCTTTATTGCACTTTATTTTGTGAGCAAGAAAAGAGAGATTTGTGGTTCTCATTTTGAGGTGATAAAAGAGATATAGAGGTTAAAAGAGAATACTATTATTTCCAACTAATATAAATTCAGAAAGTTTTAGGAAGGCAGCATTGGCCTATTCTTTAGGTTTTAGCTTTTCACTGGAACTCTTAAAAGCATCCACAAGTCAAATGTTTCTGCCCAGCCTTCTTCCCAAATTTGATCTTCCCTGATTTTAGCCTAATTTAATTTTCAAGGACGTCATGCCTGGAAGGCTTCCAGAAAAATCTCTCGTAAGCTCATTTCATCAAGATTGAAAGGACTGATGAGCTGGTAATCTTATCACCAGTTACTCGGTGAGAGTTTTTATTACGTGCCAGGCAGGTGCACAGGGCTGTTAACACATGTTGATTGATTAAATCCACGAGGTATGTTACCACCCTGAAGCCCTACTTCAAGAAGTTTACCGTATCATCTCTAAGACACTTGAACAGTTGATGCAGAAGATGACAACCACAAAGTGAAATGGATCTTAAGAAATTTTAGGTATCATCATAGGACCATGGATTAGACCTTTGTACTTTAAAAATGTTGGTCTTTACATTTCTAACTTTTCTGTCAAAGAGGTGCATTTGTTAGTCATACATGAAGTTTGTGTCTTCTAAGTCATTAATAGCTTTATTTCACTTATGTGTTTAAAATTTTCTTTATGCAGTGTCACAGTGAACTCATTTATTTTGCCCTGGGGTTCTCAGCAAAGTAAAACTCTTTTCCTTTTGTAGACATTTGCCTGAAAAAATTAAGGATGACCAGCAGCTGAAGAATATGAGTGGCCAATGGTTTTATGAAGCCAAGGCAAAAAGACACAGAGACAAAATCCATGGTGCAGATATTATCCGAGCATCTATGAGGAAGAAGAGGCTCCAAGTGGCAGGTGAGATGCTGATCCTCAGCGTATGTGTAGGACAGAGGGTAGGTTAGGGATGACTTTGTTACTGAAATTTGCTGAGGGAAATCATGTGGAGGCGTGCTTTACACAATGGATACCCTCTAATTCAAAATCTTGCCCTGGTTCAGATAGATAAGATCCAAGCCACAAAGCTGTGCAATATAAAAAAAGGAAGCTCTTTAAAGTACCTTATTCAGGTATAGTTGCCCAATTCTTGGGGTTTATAGGGGATCTACCACCTGTTCTTTGGCTTTAACTCTGTAATTTTAGAACCTTCTGAGTAAGCTAAAAGACTTACATAAAGTGAGATCCGTCTTCTTATGAATGATCTTTGACACATTATTTATCAACCAAGTACATTATTTATTTATTTACTTATTTTTGGTCGGTCATGGGGCTTGAACTCTGGGCTTGGGCGCTGTCCCTCAATAATTCAGCTCAAGGCAAGTGCTCTACCGCTTGAGCCACAGTGCCACTTCCGGTTTTCGAGTGGTTTATTGGAGATAAGAGTCTCACAGACTTTCCTGCCTAAGCTGGCTTCATACCAAGAACCTCAGATCACAGCCTTCTGAGTAGTTAGTAATAGTAGCCATGAGCCACTGGCTATGTGGCCTTAGGCAATTTTCTTGAACTCTTGAAGACCATCAATTTCCAGATGTATAAGTTGAAAAAATAGCTCCTAGCTCCTAGGATAATACTTACAAAAAACAGCACCACAGTGATTAATAGTTCTCATTCCGTTGATGATAATTATCAGAGAAGTTCAGGAATAAAGAGAGTATTTGGGTCAGCAGCAAAAGAAGTTGTTTGCTGAAAGAAAACACAGGGGTTTTATAAAAGGTCTGACATCTGCCTAGTATGAAGTAAGAAAAATTCAGATGTGTAGGGACTAGGAAATGGGGTGGAAGAGGTAGTAGAGAGGAACATTGTAGACTATAATCATTTGTTCCCCTTGTATCCCAGAACCAAGCATCATGTAGAACACATTGTAGATTGTCCCAGTAAATATTCTTCCTGCCCACAGCATCCTTTGGCTGTGCAAATTTAGTCCTGACTCTAGGTCAGATTAATCTGGAGGGAATCAAAATTTTGTTTTATCATCTGCATATTTAAAAGTATACCTAAAATAAACAAAGAAAAGTATACCTACACTCTTAGAGACAGCTTTGGAGAGAGGAGCCAATATAATAATGTGTATAGTAATAATAATATAATATGAATACCATGCCAGGTGCCTGTGGCTCACACCGGTAATCCTAGCTACTGAGATCTGAGGATCGTGGTTCAAAGCCAGCCAGGGCAGGAAAGTCCGTGAGACTCTTATCTCCAGTTAACCACCAGAAAACTGGAAATGGCACTGTGACTCAAGTGATAGAATGCTAGCCTTGAGCTAGCATTGATCCCAGGGACAGAGCTCAGGTCCAGAGTTCAAGCCCCATGACCAACAATAAATGAAATTCTGATTCTGAGACTCAGAAAGTTCAGAGCTTGGATTTGAGCCCTTAGTAATAGGAGTGGGTGAGAGTGGTATAGGTTGTGGAGGAGAGAGATAACCTTTTTTTTAATCATTTGTTGTTTCAGCTGAGCAGAGTAAAGACAGAGCAATTGGGGCAAAGGAAAGCTGGGTGAATAATGTCAACAAAGATGCTTTCCTTTCCTCAGAGGTAGCTGGTGTTGTAGAAGAGCCAGAAGAAGACACCACACCAGCAAGCCCAAGGTAAGATGGAGCTTGAGAGTTTTGTGAGTTGATGTGCTGTAGAAATGTTGGACTGGTGCTATTAGTGAAGGAAGAGGGTAGTATGTGAGAGAATTCGGGGCCATGATGGGGACAGAGTCTAAGCAATATTCTTTTAGAATTTCTAACAAATCTGAATTGTAAATAGAATTAAAATGTTAAGGGGCCATCTTTCAGCACCAGCAATAACTGCTTTTAATTTCTCCCAGGAGTAGGTTATAGTGGTATTCTAAAATGACTTTATCTCAGAGGTGAGATGAATGATGATCGCACTGTAACAGCTTGGTACAATAGAAGTAGCTCCAGCGCAGGTTTCAGGAAGGCTGAGTTCAAATCCTGAGTCTGCCATTTATTAGCCATTAGGACCATAGGCAAACCATTGAACCTTCTACCTCTATTTCTTATCCCTAGACTGGAATGCTTCTATATACCCAAAAGGCCATTATGAGACTTGGTAATAATGAATATAGAATACATAGCACATGTTAAATACTAAATAAAATTCAGTGTTGGGTGGGCATGGGCATGATGGTGCATGTGTGTAATCTCAGCTACTAAGAAGGCAAAGATTGGGAAGATAGCAGCAGTTCAAGGCAAGCATGGACAAAGAAAAGTTAGTGAGACCCCATCTCAACCAATAAGAAGCTAAGCATGATGGTTATTCAGGGGGCATTAGTAGGAGGCTCATTGTCTAGGCCAGTATGGGCAAAAATGTGAGATCCCCCCCCCCCCCATCTGGAAAATAACAAAGCAAAACGGGTAGGTGCATGACTCAGAAAGCAGTATATATGCCAAGGAAGTACAAGGTTCTCCGTACAAACTTCAGTACTGCCAAATAAACAAACAAAATGCAGTGTGTATTCAATAATTTTATTTGTGGTAGTTTTTCCGTACATGTTTTCATCTGACCAAGGAAACTGTGCATGTTTTAATCCTTCCTAAGAAGTATCTAGCTACGGAACTGTACTGCCCAAATCTTTTGAGGTATAATAATGTTCTCTTAGCTATTTAAGGAAGGTCCCATTGGTGTAGGAGAGAGTGGGAGAAACAGTAGCATTTTATCCTCAGCTGCTGGGTGAAGCTAGTTAAACTCAGAGCCTCCAACTGTGATAACGTTGATGGTGTTGCTGAAGGGGGAGCCGCTGAATGAGGTCTCAAGGCCGAGGTACCCAGAAACAGATATATTTCCAACATAGTTTTTTATGGGTGAGGGCACCCAATGTAAGTACCTCTACGCATTGCGAAGTCACATATAAGTAAAGTTCTTCCCGGCTGGGAAGGTGGCTCAGTGGCAGAGCTCTTGCCTTGCATGCCTGAGGCCCTGGGTTTGGTTCCTCAGCACCACATAAGCAAAAAGAAAAAAGCCAGAAGTGGCGCTGTGGCTCAAGTGGTAGAGTGCTAGCCTTGAGCTGAAAAGCTGAGGGACAGCGCCCAGGCCCAGAGTTCAGACCCCACGACCCCCGCCCCCCCAAAAAAGTAAAGTTTTTCCACATGGAAAATGGAATGTTAATACACTAATAAAACAGAAAGCCAAAGAAAATGGAATAATGAATTGATTAATGTACCCGTTGTTTACCCCTTCCCACCCATGAGTGACAGGGTCTACTCTGTTCCCCCAGGACAACTTGTAAAGTTCTATTTATAGAGGCCATGCTAGCTATTGGGTAAATACCTCTATAGTAGCTACCAAGTGATACTGTGGTCTCACTTGCAGTAGTTCTAACTTTACTTCTTGGGCATCTATTTCTATGGCTATAACAGAGCAATAATAGTACTGTTAATGGGAAAACAAGTAATTAGTTGGTGTATGTACAATTCTTAACATAGTCCCTAGCATATAATATTAGCAACTTAAAGGGTAGGATCTAAAATACAAATGAATACTTCAGAATGTCTAGGAGAGGGTATGAAGGGACTCTTTCCCCGCTTGGTGCCTTCTCATTTACCAGCTACCTGAAGATGAAGGCTTTACCTTTATAAAGACAAGAGATTCGAACTATTAGAAACTCTAAGAGAAAGAACATAGCCATTTAGATCCACTTCCAAGGAGCTGCAATCAGGTCTTAGGATCAGGCATGGCAAGAACCACAAAGGGGACAATTCAGGGATATCAGAGACACACTCAACTCACTGCAATTTTATCCAAGTCAAACTTCTCATCCTTCCAGATAGTCAGTCCAATTCAAAGGGCTTGAGTGGGCAAAGGTGCCTGACTCCATCTCCTCATGTTCCACAGAGAAGAGACTGGGTATTTTCTCAGTCTTCCTCACTTTCAGGCTAATAAACCTTCCATGACTTGCAAGTGTACTTGTTTTCTGCATTTCTTGTGTGACCATAGACACAAAGCTATGTTCTGTAAGTCAGAATATAGATGCCTTACCAGTATGTGGTGAGATTACCTGAAAGAAGGTGAAGGAACCATTTATCCTTTCTTAGGAAGATGGAAAATTGACAACATCCAAATGGCAATGTAATGATGCTATTTCTTATTACATAAATAAAATATGGTAAAGAAGACAAGCCTGGAGAGGATAGGAAATGTGCTAATTACCTTACTCATGTAACTGTAACCCCTCTGTACAGTATCTTTTCAAATATATATATATATATATATAAAGAAGACAAGCCTTATAATGTGTGGTATGTGTGGGAATCACTCAGAACTAACTATACAAAAAGCAATAGTTTACTTCCTCTTTTCCATGTCAGAAACCACAACTTTACTTGATATCAAGTTTCCTACAGTGTTTTCACACTTTAACCTTTGTGAACTGGGTGTGTTAAGTGTATTTAGTGCCTGTACTTTTAGACTACGTGAATTTCAATAGAGTGACTCAATACTTATCAATATTTTCTTAGCCACGTGTTGGGGAGTGTGGAGAAGGTATTTTTTTCTTTTTTCTTTTTCTTTCTTTCTCTCTCTCTCTCTTTCTTCCTTTCTTCCTTTTTTTTTTTTTTTTTGCTGGTCCTGGGGCTTGAACTCAGGGTCTGGGCACTGTCCCCAAGCATCTTTGTGCTAAAGTCTAGCGCTCTACCACTTGAGTCACAGTGCCACTTCTGGCTTTTTCTGAGCAGGTTTTGGAGTGTCTCACGACTTTCCTGCCTGGGCTGGCTTTGAACCATGATTCTCAGATCTTAGCTTTCTGAGTAGCTAGGATTACAGGTATGAGCCTCAGGTACCTGGCTTGTTTTGTTTTTTATTTGTTGGTGTTGGTTTTTTTTTTTTTAAATAAGCTTGGTGGCTGGGTCCTTCATGGTGTTGTGTGCACAATTTTGTTGAGGTCTATACATGAAGAATTAAAACACTGTACTTGGCCTAGAGTCAGGAGCATGAACATCTGCTTGTATTCTTTCTGAATTTCTCTTTGTACTTATAGCAAAGGAAGCAGAGAGGCTTATGAGCAGAGAATAAGTTTCTCTTTAGAGAAGCAAAAAGGAAACTCCAAGCTTAGCTGGGTAGTGTTGGCTGAGCCAGTATACCATAAACTGTAGTGAAGAAACAATTTTTTGTTTTTAACTTCTCTTTCTTTAAAAAAAAATATTTCTAATTATCACAGGCTAATAATACCCTTTGGGCTTTGGTGGCTCATGCCTGTTAATTCTAGCTTACACACACACACACACACACACACACACGAAATATGGAAAATAACAATGGCATAAAATGGAGATCTGGTCATATGCTGAGATGTCTCAGAAAACTCATAAATGGTTCTCAACATGTACTCCCAATTTTTGTACTTATCTCATTGTGAATCACTAATACACAGCTCATGGATTGACACTGCTCCACAAACCATATATTGATAGCACATAAATATTTGTTAGACACATACACAGTAAGCCATAGAGCGTGGCTGAGTCAGATAGGGAGTAAAGAACAAAACATCAGCTGGGCACCATTGGCTCAGACCTAGCTACTTAGGAGACTGAGAATCAGAGGGTGTCAGTTTGAAGTCAGCTTAGGCAGAAAAGTCCAAGAGACTCCATCTACAATTAACTAGCAAAATTCCAGGCTGGAGGTATGACTCAAGGGATAGAGTGCCAGCCAAGCATGCAAGAAGGCATGAGTTCAAATTTTAATACTTTAAAAAAATTAGAAGCTCCTCCCACTTGGGTCAGGACCCTTCCCATACACGCTGTACTAAGTATTAATATTATCAGGACAAGTTATTTTTCTAACTTTAGAAGTCAGCCTTTAAGAAGCCCCTTCTTTATTACTCAGGGTTATATGTTCTGTGAAACAAGTTTGGGTGCTGGGGGTGCCACTAAGAATAGTAGGCTCTCTATATGGACCAGGGCCTTATATGTCCTTGCCTCTGACACTTCTTTGTACTGAAGGGGCCTGGATATGGATATGGTCTCTCTGGTCCCTTGTCTTCAAGGAACCCGTTGTTTGGAGAAGGGGCTATGTATAATTATGAACCTGTTTGGTGTGGCAATAGTACTTAACATGTTATGAGAACAGCAGTGACTTTATAAAGAATAGAAAGGGAAGATGATCTGAGAGCTTTTGGAGGTGATTCTTGAAGGATGAGAAGGGTTATGTTAGATGGAATGCGGGGATGATACAGGCAGAGAGGCTGACCTGAGGTCTGGAAGGCCTTGGCATGCCACAGTCCTGGAAATGGTCTGGCATGGGAAGTCTGCTGTGTCCCTGCTGGGCAAAGTGTATATGAAGAAGCTGAAATCAAATTGAAAAGAACTTTGAGAGTCAGCCAAGAGTCTAGACTTTATCTTAAGTCATAAGGACCACCAAATGAATATTGTTGTTGGTGATGGTGGCCTAAACTCTGAGCCTGGACTCTGTCCCTGAGCTCTTTTGCTCAAGGCTAGTGCTCTACCACTTGGAGCTACAGCTCCACATCCAGGTTTTTTAGTGGTTTATTGGAGATGAGTCTCACATGAACTTTTTACTGCCTGGTTTGGCTCTGAATTGTAATCCTCAGATCTCAGCTTCCTGAGTAGCTAGGATTATAAGC